ACTCTTAAGCGCAAGCCAGTGCCGCCCCCGATGACGCCATAGCGGGACTCAACTCCTGGTCTTTTCTGTGCGAGCCGTACTTCTTAGTGATGAACCTGCCAAAAGTCCACCACCAAAACGACGCCCAATTTCCAGATCAAAGTCAGCAATGACCCCACAATTTTTTATTTTTTTTTTCTGACTCCCAGAGTTGATTCACCTGCGGGTAGATGAGATATCTTTTTTTCTCCTTTTTTCTTTTTTTTCTTTTTTTTTTGTGGAAAAAAGCTCCATCTATTGGTGGGGAGCAGCACCTGCTGGAAACCGGGTCCAGCGTCCCATAGATATCGACTCTGTCAATAGTCTGAAAAGTACAGAAATGAATTTGTTAAGGAAGAGGTCATCAGTTCAAAACCTGCCAAGCAGGTGAAGCAGGGGCAGTGCAGGGAAAAATAAGACGAAACAGAGAAAAGCGCAACCGAGGAGGAAAAGCAGGAAGAAGTGACCGGAATTGGGAGAAGCAAACACAGAAGGGCAATACAACTCAATAAAGTAGCAATGAGAGGAGCATTGGCGTAAACCACCAGTAAACCCGGGCCTGGCAGCGCTGCACTGCACTGCACACCAAGCTTTGCACAAAAGCCAGCGGCACACTTTTTTTTTTTTTGGCTGGCACCGCCATCCATTATGGTCCAGTAGCCCCGAGCCTCTGGAATTTTCGGGGTAAGACATGAAGAAATCCTCCAAGGGAAAAAAATAAATAAAAAAATAAAAAACTAAAATAAAAAATCCTCCAAGGCTGGGGTCGTGTACTGACAGCTTAAGCTTAGCGTCCGAAGAGAGGAGATGATCTGAATGCAGCAGAGAGTCCATTTTACAAACTGACATCAACAACCAGATTCTAACTGATAGCTGTCATCCTATTCATCCTCTCTCTCGCTCTCTGTCTCTCTCTCTCTCTCTCTCTCTCTCTCTCTCTCTCTCTCTCTCTCTCTCTCTCTCTGTGGCTGTCTATCTATGTATCTATCTATCTCCCACCCCTGCTCCTCTTGTTTCAGCAACAAATCTCTTTCTCTCCCTCCCTCGCTCTCTCTCACGGAATGGTAGCAATCCTCATGGTACCAACTTGCGGTATCAAGAGGAACGGTACACATTTATGGTACCATGAGGACGGGTAGGAGGAACGGTACAAGTTTATGGTACCATGAGGAATGCTACAACTTGCCCGCGACACCATGTGGAAGCCATGAGAAGTGGTACCATGCCAAGAGTGGTACTACTATAGCGTGAGGAACAATACCATAACACGAGGGATGGTACCATACCATGAAGAATGATACCATACCATGAGGAATGATAACGTACCATGAGGGACGGTATGTCTTCCTTTTATTTACAGTACCGGGAAACGGGCCCAGCTTCCCTTCCATTGTTTGGGGTTCCGAAAACGGGAAGGACCGGGCACTACGGCATGGTCCTTGCCAAGGACACTTTGCAGAAAAGAAAAAGATGGGTACATGATCCGTACACCATCACGCAGTACGCTAACTGGAGCAAGCAACAGGCAAGTAAAGTACCGTCACATTGTACTTTAGCCTACTGCAACCTAAGCAAGGCAATATGTCTCTGTGTCCTAAGGCTCCTGAGTCCTAAGACTCCTAACCCATTTACTGAAAGAGCTACATTACACTTTGGAAACTTGCTGCAACAGCCCCTCGATCTTACGTCCTGCGTGCGATCGCACAAAGTTAACCTACTATTGTACGCGCTAGAAGGCAACTCCGCCGTCGACGGTACCCATAACTTAAGAGTGCAAAGCCCCAAACGACGAAGGAAATGAAAGAACGAAGACCAGCGTGAGTCATCGGCTCGTGCTGATTTCGTCCCTGCCCTTCGTACAGACCGCCCGTCGCTCCTACCGATTGAACAGTCCAGTGAGGTGTCTCGATCGTGGTGATCTCGGCGGTTCAGCCTCAGTTCTGGCGTCGCCCCCTCTATAGCTTCTTCTCTACAAAAACATAAAGGTCGATTTTTTTTTCCGTAGGTCTGAGTATGTCGGGAACGCCTGCCCAACGACACAAACAATTTATAACCTCTTTGGTAGACGAAGTTGAGAAACACCCCTACCATTTGCACCCCCCAACCCCCACCCCCTACCCCGCACCTTCAAAAACCACAAATGCCACCTCAATACAAATACCTTGGTCAATGAAATACTCAATCAATGAAATACAAGAAGAAGGGTGTGCCTAAAATGAATCGAAAAAGAGAAAGGCACAACCGATTTAGATTCCATTATGATGGGAAACCAAAAAAAAAAAAAAGATTCCACTATGATGGAAAAGGGAAAGGAACATTCAGAGCCTCTCCTTAGACCACCAGAGGTCGGCAAAACCTCTCTCTGCCCCTGTGTCAGGTCAGCCAATGTGAATCCTGAGTACTGGGGATCCGCCTGTTGTAAACATTTTTTTTTTTTGCTGTTTAATAACTTTAATTTCCGTGAGGAGAATAAAACAGGAAAAAAAAAAGAAAAAGAAAAGGAGCTGAAAGAAAAAAGGAACGGAGGCAAAGCTCTGGTGCACTCACCTGAAAAAGTCTCTCCACAGAAGCTCGAAGACCAGCCAATTCAAGCCGTTGGATTCATCTGTCGACCACGCACCATCCGAACTGATTCCCCTCGCCGCAGCGCCTTTCGTATTCTTCAGGTCCTCGTACATCTTTCTCGGCGAGAGGCATCCCATCGCCAACCACGGCGAAATCTTGCAGGAGAAGTTGGCACCGTACAGTTTCTCTCCATTTGCCGACGCCTTTCTGCGCCCATTAGCCTCGGCAACGAATGTCTTCAGCCTGCTCATTGCCTCTGTCTCTCCCCCAATCAATTCAAATTGCGCGCCAGCCCCCTTGCGATCCTGAAGGAAGACGTAGCCGAATCCAAACCCAAACCCATAAACCAAAAAAGGGTTTCAAAATACCAAGCCAATACAAATGGTCACAACTCAGCGCCCGCAAAAGAAACAAACACACACAGATCCTGACAAAAAAAAAAAGGGTACGGGAAAAAAAAAAAAAAAAAAAAAAAAAAAAAAAAAAAAAAAAAAAAAACACCTCTGACCGAAGCCAGAAAGAGGGAGGGAGATGCAGAAATACCAGCCAAAACTAGACACAGGCAGATGTACATCCTTCCAGGGAGGGGATCAATCAATGCATCTGGAGCTGATGATTCGAAGTAAGAAGATCAGTCCTTCGTGACATCCGTTAAAATTGGAACGATACACAGAAGATTAGCATGGCCCCTGCACAAGGATGACACGCATAAATCGAGAAATGGTCAAAAAAAAAAAAAAGAAGTAAGAAGATCAAGTTAGAATAGGAGCAAGGGTGAGCAGAGTAGTAAATCCTCCTGGGCACAGGAGCAATCAATGCCACTGTCTCAGAATTTCCTTGAGGCCATACCAGACAAAGGCGTTGAGTGCGTGCGATTGTAAAGGGACGCTGAAACCCGTTTTTCAGATATAATAATTGAAGACCTCGTTTTTGTTTAAAAAACAAAAACAAAAGAAGTATTTGGATCATTTGATTTAAATTTTGAGTTAGATTTCGAGTTAGATCTCCACTTTCAAGTCAAATTTTTAGTTAAATTTTGAGTCAGATTTTGTGTCAGATTTTGCATCACATTTTGAGTCAGATATTGAGTCAGTTTTTGCGTCAGATTTTGCATCAGATTTTTAGTCAGACTTATGAGTTAGCTTCCGGTTAGGTTTTGAATCACATTTTGAGTAACACTGAGTTAGCTTCCGGTAGATTTTGAGTTAGATTTTGAGTGGGATCACAATTTGAGTGACAGCTGAGTAGCTTTGAGTAAGATTTTGAGTAATCGATTTGAGTTGACATTTATTGACCAAAAAAATGGTAAAATATTGTTGACATCAACAGATTGAAGATCCTACTACCTGGATCAGGTAGGTTGACTGGTACAAAATGCTATAATAAATCATAAATATATGAATAATAATAAATTAATAATAAACTAATAGGGTCTACTAGTGCTTCAGAAAATGGAACACGTTTTCAACGAGAGAAAGAGACGAGGGG